TCCGCAGCAGCTCCAGGCTCCGAGCTGCCAGCACAGAGCCCGACGCAGGGCTCGAACCCACGAATTTTGAGATCATGACCTGAGCCGAAGCCAGACACTTAACCGACTGAGCCTCCCAGGCGCCCCATATTTTTTTAAAGCAGAAAAAACTTAGCTCACAGGCCACACAGTGTCACAGTGTTAAACACAAATAAAACCTCTCTGTCACACACACAGTGACAGTTGAAGTAACTTGAGTCCGGCTTCTTCATCTTCACAATGACAGCCAGTCACTGTCGGATCCACTACTAATCCGGAAGAGTGACCGGCGTGGGGGTGGGGGGGGGAGCGGGAGGGGGACGGGGATGAACTGCATAGAGAAGTTTCAAGTGGTTCGGACTGTTAAGAACTTCCTCCTGAAGCCGCGTGTCCCTGGGCGCCCTCCAGATTGTCTGCCACAGAGAAGACCACGTAGGACAGAGGAAAGTCATAAACGTGTGCCAGCGGCACCCAGGAAGGACGAACCGCCACGGAAACTCCCCGTGCCACACAATCGTAAAAGCGAGGACATTTAAACCATGGTTTTGGATGTTGGACTAGAAGCCCCACATGGCAGTTTCCTGAGCCGAGGGGAGGCTCGGGGTAGGCTGCCGGAGTAACCCCCTCCTGCCTGGGGCAACTTCAGGCCCAGCGCTGGCGGCCCCGGGGCCACAGTCCCGCAGGCCTGCTGGGTACCGCAAGCTGAGACCGCACGTGGGGAGGCCAAGGTGGCTGGAACTTGCGGGGCTCCAGACGGGAGGGGCTGCGTTTACTAAAGAGCCCTGGGGGTGTGCAGACTCCGCTGCAATCTACTGATCTTGCAGGCGTGGCTTCAACTTCCAGGAGCCCAAGCGAAAATCACCAGAAAGCAGTGTGTCCGGAGCTGAAATCGTGTTTCCGCCAGCCGGGGTGGAGAGGCCTTGAAGACCCCACACAGACGTCGGTGTAGAGTCAGAGGGCCGTGACCTTAGCAGTGGGGTGAAATGAGCCCTGGAGTAAAAGCTGCAGCTAAAGGCAAGCCTCAGAAGGCTCAGACCAACCCTGAGTAGCTTAACTGCCGCTACAGCAGAGTCCAGCATTCCGAAAAGGAACACAGCGATAGCCCACACTCCACGGAAGTCAGTGTTGGGATCCAGGCAGAAATTACCCGGCCGTGCCGAGAGGCAGGAAAATATAGGCCGTAATCAAGGGAAATACTAAACAAACAATAGAAACAGACCCCACAATGACAGATGGTGAATTTACAGACAGGGGCCTTCAAATGGCTATTAGAAGTCTTAAAAATCTGCTCAAGGATCTAAAACCGTGAACAAGATGGAAGAAGAAATGAACATACAAAAAAGACCTAAGTGAAGTTCTAAAGAAAAAATATCTGCAATGAAAAAATACCCTGGACAGAATTAACGGATCAGAAACTTCAGAAAAAGTACCCATGAGCTTGATGCATAGGGAACACAAACTACCGGAAAGCAGCAGAAGGGAGAGTGGAAGACAGTGGCCGGTGGACGGCATCCAGCACCTCCCCCGCCCGACACACACATAACTGGAATCTGGAAAAATGAGGAACAACAACAAAATACTAATTCAAAATGAGCTTGTCGTGAGTTTGCTGGGATTACGGGTGAGACTGTTGAATCTGTAGATCAGTTTGGGACGAAGTGACATCTTGAGACTTGGGAGCTCCCAGTCTGCTTTTACCTGTGCTTTTAGTGTAGGGATTTTGCACACTTTTGATGAATTTTTCTTAAGCATTTTATGGCTTTGACATCATCACAAACGGAGCTATGCTCCATTTCCTGGGGCTCCCATAACACAGGGCCGCAGACTGAGTGGCTTATGACAAAGAAATCCCCGCTCTCACAGCCTGGAGGATACGAATCCAAAATGTGGGTATCGGCAGGATTGGTTCCTTCTAGAGGTCAGAAGAGCCGCCTGCTCCACGCCCCCTCCCACCCCCAGCACCTGGTGCTCACTGGCAATCTCTGGCTTACAGAGGTGTCACCCCAGTCTCCGCCTGCCTCCACGTGGCCTCCTGCATCTCTGTGTCTGTCTCTTTAAGACTTTAAGTAATCTAGGGGCGCCTGGGCGGCTCAGTCGGTTAAGCGCCTGAGTTGGGCTCAGGTCATGATCTCACGGTTCATGGGTTCAAGCCCTGCAATGGGCTGTCTGCTGACAGCTCAGAGCCCGGAGCCTGCTTTCGATTCTGTGTCCCCCCCACCCCCACCCTCTGCTCCTCCCACACTTGTACACACTCCCTCTGAAAAATGAATACACACTAAAAAAAAATTTTTTTTAAATAATCTCTACACCCAACATGGGGCTCGAACTCACAACCTCAAGATCAAGAGCTGTACCACAGTCCATCAGCTGAGCCAGCCAGCGTCCCAGGTCTCTTCTGTCCTTACAAGGACATGAGTCATTGGGTTGAGGGCCCACCCTCATCCAGCACGACATCATCTCATATTACATCTGCAAAGGCCCTATTTCCAAGTGAGGTCACATTCACAGGTTCTGGGGTGTTAGGACTTAACATCTTTTTGGTCACCATTTCTTTTGGAGAGAGAGTTTTAAATTTCCTTTTCTCAGGGCCCCTGGGTGGCTCAGTTGGTTGAGCATCCGACTTCAGCTCAGGTCATGATCTCATGGTTCATGGGTTTGAGCCCCGCGTCGGGCTCTGTGCTGACAGCTGAGCCTGGAGCCTGTTTCGGATTCTGTGTCTCCCTTTCTCTCTGACCCTCCCCTGCTTGCGCGCTCGCTTGCTCTCTCAGAAATTAATAATTTAAAAAAAAATTTTTTAAAAAGAGTGAACACCCTTGAGCTGATGCAGGCCTCAGCAGGGACAGCGTTTACTATTTCGTTATCACACACATCAGCGGTAGGTTTTGGGACATACACCTTATCAGAGGAAATGCCGCCTTTTCCTAGTTTGCGGTTTTTTTATAATGAGTGGATATTAAATTTTGTCTTCTGTTTTTTCAGCTTCTACTGAGACCATGTGTTTTTCCCATTATTCTGTGAATGACATTTCATGCTTTTTTTCAATACATCTTATATCCCTAATTAAAATTCCAGTTGGCTATGATTTATTAGCCTTTTTATATTGATTTTACTAATATTTTGTTTAGGATGTTTGCATCTACGTTCATGAGAGATGTTTTGTCACTTCTTGTTTTTCTTAGGTCTTGGTGTCATAAAAGTGAGTTGGGGAACATTCCTTCTATTTGCCGAGTGTATGTAGGATTGGTGTGTCTTTCTCAGATGTTTGGAAGAATTCACCAGTGGAGTTATATGGGCCTATAATTTTCTTTGTGAAAATACTTTTTTTTTTAATCTCTTTCAGAGAGAGACATTGAGCTTGTGTGAACTAGGGAGAGAGGCAGGAGAGAGAATCTCAGGCAGGCTCCATGCTGAGCAGCCCCAACGTGGGGCTCCATCCCAAGACCCTGGGAAATGACCTGAGCCAGAATCAAAAGCTGGATGCTCAACCGAGCCACCCAGGCGCAGCACCCCCCACCCTTTTTGGGGTGAAAATATGCAGGTTTTGTTTCTTCTTGTATCAGTTGCATTAAATTGTGTTTTTCAATAATTCTGTCTCATCTAAGTTGTCAGATTAGCATCAGGTGTTGATAGTGCTGCTTTTAGAGCCTCGCAGTGATGCCCCTCTGTTCATTCCTGATTATCAGCAATTTGCTCTTTTCTGCATTAGTCAGGTTAATGGTTTATCCGTGTTATTGCCATTTAAAAGAACGCTTGATTTTGTTGATTTTTCTGTTTTCTGTTTCATTCGTTTTGGCTCTTACGTTCTTTCCTTCCCTTTTCTTTGGGTTTAATTTGCAGCTCTTAGCTCTTGATCTCTCGAGACACTTAGATCACTGAATTTTAACCTCCTCATTTTCACTCATTTCAAAGTATTTTCTAATTTCCATGGTGTCTTTTCCTGTCTAAAGATCACTTAAAAGTGTGTTGGGAATTTGATCTCTGACTGGTACTGAGTTCTAGTTTAACTTCGCCACGGTCAGAGAACATAAATTCAGTGATTCAACTGTTTGGAATATATGGTGACTTGACTTATGCCCCTCAAATCTGTCTCTGTTGGTACGTGTTCCATGTACACCTGAAAAGAATTCTAGTTGGTGTCTGTGGGCCACATGCCAGCTTTGTCACTCAGCCACTGTGTGACTTTGGGCAAGTGACTTAACCCCCCTGTGCCTCCTTTTCCTCGTGTGTGTTGCGGATGATCCAAACCCCTCCTTCCTGGAATTGCTGTGAGGGCTCAGGGAGTGAACCCTGGTAAGCACTTCGCACCTCGGTCTCCCCTCCCGTCACTGATCACCCCTTGCTGTGTGTGGCTCTCCGGTGTTCTCCGCAGGCACCTGCGTCCCCTTGCCTTGTTCCCAGCCCTTGACTTCACATCCTGGGCCGGGGCTGGAACAGACCGAAGGCAAAGCGGGGCTGGCACCAGGTCACGTGGCCCCAGACAGGCAGGCTTGGCAAGCACACAGGCGCGCTGCCCCTCCTCACCGGCCGCTCTGAAAACCCTACAGCCCCGGGGTGTGTTCTCAAGAGCAGTCTCCACAGCAAGTGCGTTTATTATAAAAATAAGTAAACGTGAAATGTCTTTTGACTTTGAGATACGTGACAAACGCTATTGCAGTGCATTTCAGTGGGGACACGTGGCTCTGCGGTGGCCGAGAACAGTCCCCGTGTGCGATGTGTTGTTGCCACAGCGCTCAGCCTATGAACCTCCTGGTTCCGACTCAGCAGAACCCGGGGCCCACACACGTGGTCCCCGCAGGCAGCCACCTGTTCCCAGGGAGCTGCCGTGGCCCCGGGCGCAGGCTGAGTGGGGCCGTCGTGTTGCCTGTGAGCATTCGTGCGCCCCAGCTCCCGGCCTCAGCCTGACGTTGGGGCAGGGGGGGCGGGGGGCAGGTGACCCTCCATACCGGAAGCCTAGCCGGGCCCTCCCAGGTGCACACGTTCCACCGTTCAAGGATGACCGAGTGAAGGATCAGAAACCCCCTCGGCCTTTTCTGGGCCCCGGGTCTCGGGGGATCTCTGCCCCCGCCGCCCGGGCCCGAGCCCCCTCCGAAGCCACAGGGTCACTGGCAGCACTCAGCCACATGTCTGAAGAGCTCCTCGCCCTGCTCGTCCTCGAAGTGCCGCAGGCAGTGAGGGCACTGAAGCTCCCCCTGACCCCTCCGGGTCGCTCCTGGGCACCTGCCCTCCGCGGGGAAGTCCGGCCCGTGAGATCCAGTCCCGGCCCTCCAGCCACTGGGTGCCACAAGCTCCAAGGCCTCGGTCTCTAGGTACTGGGGGGCCGCGCTCCCCGTGTGCATCCAGCAGGAGCCTGGCTCGCGGCAGTCCTGGAAGGAAAGCAAGCGTCTGTCCACGTGGGCCGCACTGCAGGCCGCAAAGCCACTCGAGAGCCTCCCCGCCCCCGAATGGGACCTGCAGCCCGTCCCAGACGCGGTGTGGCCCAGTCACGGACACTCCTGCACAGGCTCGGACGGCCCCATCCGCCCCAGCGGAGAGGCGAGCCGGGGTGGGGAGCTGGGCAGGCCGGGCCAGGCCCCCCTCTGCACCTTCCCTGCGGGGCGGGGGTGCCTCTAGCTCAGCCCGGCGCTCCAGACATCAGTCCTGAAGCACCGTGGCCCGCGTGTTCCTCGGCCTGATGCCTCTACTTCACACCTGAACTTGGGTTTTCCTCTGTGGGTGCGGCTCATCGCCCACCCCCCTGCGCTCCTGCCCTGGCTGCTCGGCGCCGAGCAACGGCAAGGGCTCCCTCACGCGTGAAGGGCCACAGGCTGTGGCTGGAAAGGATGCAGAGGCCACTCATTGCAAACACCCCCGTCCCCCACCAGACCTGGAGCGGGTCCTGGTCATCACTGTTGGCCGGAGTCACAGACAGGCTGCCTAGGACGACACCTTTAACGACCTTTCAATCCAAGAGCACGTGCTTCCTCAAGTTCGCGGCAGGTGAAACCGATGGCAGAAGACCCCTCCCTACACACATACACACACACACACACACACGCAGCCACGCTGGGGGACCCCCGCCCTCGCCTGGGCCCCCGCTGGTGCGTCCCAGCCAGAGCCTGGAGGCCCAGGGCCCAGGAGAACCAGGAATCCGTGATGGAGGCCGATAAGGTCGCCGGGGCTGGTGAGGCCCTCCAGCACCTCCTTGTTAGCCTGTGGCCTCGGGGGGACACCGGCCACGGCATGGTCCCCACCCACCTCACCCACAAGCAGGAACAGCTGCCACTGTCCAGGCCCGGTTCTCCGGACCTAGTCCAAGAGTGTGAAAGAGAGGGTGTCCCCGGTACGCCCTGCACCTCACGCAGGAAGAAGCACAGAAGCCCCCGACGAACCCGAGTAGCGTGGTGCGGTGGCACCCAAGCAGAAGGGGCGGCTCAGCGTCCCTGCTCCGCCTGCTCCGTCGGTCCCCAGAGGTGCCACTAATGTCCAGTCCAAACGGAAGTTCTCTGAGGGGCCCAGAGGTGTGTTAGGTCCTGGCTGAGGGGCTAAGAAACCAAGCCCTCCCGGGGTCTCCGCAGAACACGGAGCAGGGCAGAGCGGGGAAGAGGCACCCATGGGTCCCACACCGCGGAACCATCACTCCTGCCTCACGCCAGGCCTCCCTAGATGCGGGGGGAGGCCTGCTGGCCCGGAGGCCCACCTCCACGCACACGGGCGGGGGCCCCGGGACCTTCCTAGACACCTGCGGTAACCAGGTACCCGCGCCGCATCCAAGGAGGGGACACGCAGGAAGGAAGCTCCTAGCAGGGAGCCCGGGGCCCGGGACGTGCTCGCCCGGCGCATGACCGAAAGCACGGACGGCAGGACGGGCCCCGCGGCCGCGGCCTCCGCCTCTGCCGTCACACGGTGCGACTGGGGCTCTTCCGCCACCGTGCCCCGGGGGCCAGGCAAGGCGGCTCTGACCTCGGCAGGGAAATCAGGGTCTTGGGCCGACGCCTGAAATCCACGGAGGGAAGAACGAGGGAAATGCCAGGCCCACCTGCCTGCGGGCCGCCTGGTGCCGCAGGGCGGCCACCTGCTCCTCCAGCTCCTGAATCCGCCCCTGAGCCCGCTCGCGATCGGCCCTTTCCGAGGTGAAATCATCCTTGTAAGCGAGGATCTGAAAGGAGGCAAGACGCGCTGGTCAGCGCCCGGAGCCACTTCTGCTCCGGACGGACGCAGTGCCGGCCCGCGCCCCCTTCCCCCCTCCCCCCCACACCCGGGGCCACACCTGCTGCTCCAGCATCTGCACCCGCTCCAGCGCCGCGTCGTGGGCCCTCCTCACGGCCGTCAGCTCCTGCTTCACTTCCGCACAGTCGTTTATCTTCTCCTCCAGCTGCCTGTTGAGCCTGGAGATCTCCTTCCTCATCATCTCGGGGGGCGAGGGTCTCTCGGGCTCGCGGGGGCCCTGCAGCCCCTGAAGCTGCGCGTGGAGCCCCCGCACATACTCATCCCTGCTGGCGTCGTAGCGCTGCCACTTGGCGTTAAGGTCTTCCACCTGAGGGGACGTGGCCAAGACACGTGCGGTGAAGGCGGCGGCCACGCTAGGACACGCTTTGTGTTTTGAAGTTTAAACTTTTTTTTCTTCAAGTTTTTATTTAAATCCCAGTTTACATCCAGTGTAATACTGGTTTCAGGAGCAGAACTCGGTGACTCCTCACTTGCAGATTCAACAGCCAGTGCTGGGCTCCCTCTGGCCTCGCCCGTCCCGCCCCTCCATCAGTTTGTTCTACGTCCTTAGCGTCTCATGCAGTCGGTTTTCCTCTGTTCTCCCCCCACCCGTGCGTTCCTCTGCTTTGTTTCTTAAATTCCACACAGAAGTCACGTGGTATCTGTCTTTCTCTGACTATGAAGCACTTTATTAGCAACAGTTAGCTAATGAGTTCTTGCCCTTAAATGGACGTCACCTCTTTTCATGCTTCTACCTAGAGGGGACGCGGAGAGCAGAAGACACACCCTAGGAACGGCGGTGGCGTCCGCCAGCAACCGTCTTAAACACAAGTGGACTTGGTACAATTTTCCTGCCTTAAAAGCCATACTTGGGGCACCTGGGTGGCTCAGTTGGTTAAGTGTGTGACTTCAGCTCAGGTCATGATCTCACGGTTCATAGGTTCGGGCCCTGCATCGGACTTTGTGCTCACAGCTCAGAGCCTGGAGCTGCTTCAGATTCTGTCTCCCTCTCTCTCACAGCCCCTCCCCCATTGACACTCTGTCTCAAAAATAAATACTTTAAAAAAAAAAAAGCCATACTTGATAGTAATTCTCTCACCTCCTTTCTCGCCCTATGAGTTAGCCTGGAGGACTGAGCACAACGGGGCACGGGCTGTGTGCACTTTCAGACAAAAAGGTCTGGTCTCAGCACCGTGTGCGTCAGCCAAAGTGGCCCGAGGGAGACACAACCCCTGAGCACCATGGAGGACAGGACCCCCCTGACCCAAACACTTCTGCGGTTCCCAAGGGCAAATTCTTCTTGCATGAAATATGACAGATACTCACATGAGTCACCTTCTGTCTCAACAGTCGATTTTCTTCCTGTAACTTTTCGATAACATCCTGGACACAGGCGTCCCCACCTGTACGCTCTGGCTGCATGAGAAAGGGACAGTGGGAGGCACTGTGTCGCTGAACATGACAAGTGCAGTAAGAGGGGAGGAAGCTAGACCTGTGGACTGAGGCCGCAGACGTCACCGCATCCAGCAAGGTGCCAGCTGGTGGGCGTTCAGCCGAAGCAAAGCGGAGACCCAGAAGGACTCCCTGCTTCCCGGAGGTGGTGGGGGAAGGGCGTGCTCTGGCTCCCGCTGCCTGACACGCTCCGTCATCACGGCCTGGGGGACGGGGGCTCAGTCCCTCTGTGCAGCAGAGGACACTCTGGCCCTGGGCCACCGGGGGCAGGCCTGATTGGGAACCCGTCAGGTCTACAGACAGGGTTAGCCTTGGTGGCTCTGTACATGGGGTCTGACCCACACCACACTCACACCTAGAAGCCACATCCCAAACTAACCCTGACGATGGTGGGCAGCCCTAACCGAAGAGTCTCGTGAGAAGTCCGTCTAAATCCGAGAAATGCAGTGCATTTAAGAGAACAGAGGGCTGTACACTGGCGACGTCATTTTTGAGAATTCCCCTTGAATGAATAACAAAGGAAGTACACATCCTCACCGCAGGCACCGGGAGGCCCCAGTGACTCAGCCAAGCCCCAGGCTGAGAAGTGATGCTGATCTAGTGACTGTAAGAGCCTCCGGCCCCAGGCCACCACCGTGGGGCTACTTTCAAATCCCCACAAGGAAACAACACAGTGACTCAAAGTCGGAGGAGAGCACCCGCCTCCTCCCTGACAGCACTTTGCTTTTGGCTTCTCAAATACGCTTGGCCCCTGAGGTTCCCTTTTCATGGAATCCACCTGAGGACAGGTGGTTCCCCGCGTGGCTGCGGCCCGTCCCCCCGCCCCCCACCGGAACATTGCGGCGCGTTCCTCCATGAACCTAGTCACGGCCTGGGAGAACTTCCCGGAAAGGACCCCGCTCGGCGAGCCCAGGCCAGCTGTGCCGAGGTCCGCGGCCGGTGCAGGAGCCCACGAAAGGCCGGCAACCCAAGGCCCTTCGCGTGGGTTGGGGCCTCCCCTGCGCAGGAGGGGCACATGGGGGAGCCACCCTCCCCTCACCGCCAGCCAGCCGCGGCTCCGGCCTCTCGTCCTCAGCTGCCCGAGGCCGCAGGAGCCCAGGGGCTGGGCTGGTGGGGCAGGCCGCCCGCTTTCCTATCCCGTTTTGCACGTTCCATCATTCTAGAAGAAACCCCTGGATGGACAGGCTTTGTCACAACCAAGTGGAGTCTCGTCACTGCTGGGCTCTGGGCGCCCGGATCCCCACGGCTGCTGAGGGATCCTGCAGTGTCTACGCAGTGCCTCCACCCCGATGCCGTCTTCACCGTCATTCGCTTACCCACACGCATGGCCTACCTCGGGACTTTTCTCCCTCGAGTCCCCCTGTGCGCGCTGTCGTTCATCCAGACACTTGGCCAGATGCTGGCACATGTGGGCGGTGGCGGCCAGAGTCCTCCGCAGCTGATGGGTCTCATCTGCCAACGAGCGGCACAGAATGTCGCTGGCAGCGCGGGCTCGCTCCTTCTCCGCCACGCTCTGCCGCAGCAGGGCGACTTCCTTCTCTCGCTCGTGCTCTGGCTGGCTCATCAGCTGCTGCTTCTCCTTCTCTTTTTCTTCTAACTGCTCGGAAAGCCTTTCAATTTCCTAAGTGAAAGATTTAAAAGCCCAGTTTATTAGAAGAAACAAGGTCAAAGACAAATGTTCATAAAGCAAGAGAGGTTTGGCACGGACACCCCATCACTACATGACAAACTCATTCAGAGGCCAGCTTTTGAACTACAATTAACTCTGGAGTTTTCAGCCTATGATGTTCTATTTGAAACTTCATCTAAAATTCTACTTTCAAGGGCGCCTGGGTGGCTCAGTTAAGCATCTGACTTCGGCTCAGGTCATGATCTCACAGTTTGTGGGTTCGAGCCCCGCGTCGGGCTCTGTGCTGACAGCTCAGAGCCTGGAACCTGCTTCAGATTCTGTGTCTCCCTCTCTCTCTGCCCCTCCCCTGCTTGTGTTCTGTCTCTCAAAAATAAACACTAAAAATTTTTTTTTAATAAAATTTTAAAAATTTTAATGTTCACTTATTTTTAATAATTCTATTTTCATTTTCACAAGCAAGTTCATAATTTTAGATGGCACATCAGCAGATACAAAGTGTGACAACTGCAAAGACTCCTTATGAGACAGACAGACTGCAGCGGGTTGGCGCCTGGTAGGTACGCGCTCACTCCCGGTACCGGGAATGTGACTTGACTCAGACGCGGCGCCCTCGCAGACGTGACTGGGGAAGAGGAAGCCGTTACTGAATTAGAACAGACCCTGATCCAGTGACTACTGTCCCTGTACGAAGAAGGAAACGTGGACACAGACACAAGGAAGGAGGCGGGGTGATGACAGGTAGAGACGGGAGAGCTGTGTCTGCAGGCCAAGGGCCACCAAGGGCTGCGGGAGCCACCAGAAGCTGAAAGAGGCGAAGACACACGAGGGAGTGCGGCCCCGCCAACACCTTCACTTCAGGCTTCCGGCCTCAAGAGCAGAAGATAAATTCCTGTTGTTCTAGGCCCCCAGCTATGGGACTTTGTGACAGAGCTCTGGGACCTAATCCACCCACCCCCCACTACTTATTTAAAAGAAAGTCCTTAAAAGTACAGTCTGCTCTATTCCTGGCCTTAATTTTCTGCCTTCCCATCTCAAAGAACTGCAGTTCTTTGAGGTGATGCAGGGCGAGCGAGTGGGGCCCACAGATGGGGCACCGGGGAGACGCAGGCTGGGTCTGGGCTTCCCCAGGGGGGTGCAGGGCAGGAAGATCGGCCTCCCCCAAGGAGCGAGCTCACGCCCCTCCCCCCCGCCCCAATGTGAGTGTGAGGGGGAGACACACAGGGACCCTGGAACCTTCTCGGCACAGCAGAATGAGATGCTGGGCCATGTTACTAAAGGACCCCTGACGTATTATTCTCTTACGGGCTTTAAACAAAAACAAAAAATGTGCACGGTTGCAATGAATTCAATGAAAACCTAAATTCCTCGTTTGCCACCAACTCCTCCACCAGAGCATCACTTTCCAGAGGCAATTCCTATTCACCATGTGGGCACAGATCTTTCCAGAATGTGTTTAGGCATCTACCACTCCAGTCTTCATACACAAATGGATCGTACACCAGCACGCTCTTCACTGCTGTCTCCCTCCTCAGGAACACCTCACTCCACAGCGGCACACAGAACTGACCACGGCCTGGAACCCCACAGAAGGTTCCAGATCTGCGGGGCGCACCTCCAACCGACAGACACACGGCTGCTCCCCTGTCCTCCGATGCAAATACATCCACGGGAAACATGCCCACAAGTCAGGCGGTTGGGACGGTTTCAAGCCTGGATGAAGAAGTACTTGGAGGAACGGGGGACACAGCCAGACACAGGTTCCCACCCTGGCTCCTGGGCCCAACACCCTGTGCACCTGGGGTGGCCTCCGCAGAAGTCCCACATGTGTCCCCATCACTCCAGCCAGGTGGCCCAGAAAACATTCTGGAAATCTCGCCCTCAGGGAGGTTTTAAGAGTCCTTTGCTTCCCCACTTTCCTTGAACTTCACTCTAGAAGTTAACAGCAAGAAAATAAAAATTCCTGCTGGGATGGTCAGTTTGGCTCTCTTAGCAAAGACCTAGAGGAAGAGACTGCAAGACACAAAGTGAGGTCAGACACTGGCAGGTGGGACACGTCCAATGCCCAGTGCAGAAGCGGTGACAGGTCAGGGACAGTGGGTAACAGCATGAGGCAGAAACCACACTGGCGATGAGCCCGAAACGGACTGGCGCCCAGGTGTCCGGCGCCCGCGCTCCCTCCCCCTCCACAGATGGCGCCCAACCTGGTGAGGCCATTTCTTCTGTTTTTCCACTTTATGACCTCACCCGTGAGTGGAGTCCAGGCCTTTCTGGACTGGAGGAGAAAGAGGCCTTTCCCTGAAAGCCGGTTGGTCGGCATCGCTACCTCCTCTGAGCAGATGGCCATTCAGCACCAGGTCAGGGCAGCGGGACCTGGAGAGGCTATGTCCACACGGCCAGGACAAGTGGCTTGGCCTGGATGTGGCCACAACCAGATACAGCACGATGGATATTTACACAGCTGAGAACCAACTATATGGCCTCCTTAACATAAAGTCCTATAAACAGGGGAAAGAAGGTGAGCTCGGGTTCCCACCGCTGGTCATTGAGCCTAAAAACACAAAACGGCCTATTAGCCTGGAATTTATTTTAAAAACTGACCACTTTTTAAAGGCATTTCAAGGGGCGCCTGGGTGGCTTAGTCGGTTAAGCGTCCGACTTTCGCTTGGGTCATGATCTCGCGGTTCGTGGGTTCGAGCCCCGCGTCGGGCTCTGTGCTGACTGCCAGCTCAGAGCCTGGAGCCTGTTTCAGTCTGTGACTCCCTCTCTCTCTGACCCTGCCCTGCTCACGCTGTCTCTCTCTCTCTCTCTCCTAGAAATAAATAAAACATTAAAAAAATAAAAAATAAAAAAATAAATAAAGGCATTTCAAGCTGAGCAGGGACCCTGTCCCATGTTCTTACTGTTTGGACAGTACAGCAAGAGCCTCTCACAACTGCCTCTCCCCATGAAGTGTCCAGACCCCTGGCCGGCCACTGCTCGCCCCCTTGCCCAGCCTCAGTTTCCCTCTACCTGCATCACAGCTACGGTGTTGCTACTGGTGGAAGGGAAGTGCCTGAGGGCAGGGACTTTTTTTTAATTTAATGTTTATTTTTGACAGGGGAAGCTGGGGAAGGGCGGAGAGGGAGAGAGAATCCCAAGCGGACTCCACACTGTCCGTGCAGATCCTCATGGGGTGCAAACTCCCGAACTGTGAGATGATGACCTGAGCCGGATCAACAGTTGGGTGCTCAACTGACTGAGCCTCACGGGCACAGTGACTTTTTTTTTTTTTTTTTTTTCCATTTTCCCCAATCTCAGACCTTGTTACCATCAACAGGGACTTGTGCATAAACCCTGAAATTTCACAGTGATTCTGGGGCGCCTGGAGGGCTCAGTCAGTTGAGCATCCAACTGCAGCTCAGGTCATGATCTCGTGGTTTAGGAGTTTGAACCCCACGTCAGACTCTCCATTCTCAGAGAAGAGCCTGCTTTGGATCCTCCTTCCCCCTCCCTCCCTCTCTTTCCCTCTCTCTCTCTCTGCCCCCTACCCTGCTCTCTCTCTAAAATAAACATTAAAATTTTTTTAATTTTCCAAGTTACTCAAATCAGCAGGACAGAGAAATACATGTCTCTATCCTGCTCTGTATCTAATACTTAAGTTCATTCAGGGAAATCCATGTCTCCGTATGAAACAGAAGCCGACACATCTACAAATATATGCAACGTACAAACAGACAGGAATTCTGTGAACATACCAGTAAGAGCTCGTCCCCAGGGAAGTCACGGATTTAACAAATAACCACAGTGACAGCAGGAGCCACTACTGCTTGCTATGGCCTCACTGTGCCAACCGTGCAGTATCCGTACATCCTACAAGATAGCTTCCCCCATTCTACAGATGGGTAAACCGAGGTTCACGGGGCTGACAGCCACTGGAGTGACCAGGTGAGGAAGCCACTGCAGCCTCAGCACCGCCATGCGGTTCAACCTCCTCATGTCCTCTCAGGGCCAGAACACCTCGGGCACGACCTGCGTTCTCGGCATTGTCACTGGTCAGCTGGAGACGGCATGGACGCGTGCATCTCTGCAGACGGCGCGGCAGCACGCCCGTGGCCCGGGGTCTCTGGCTCCACACTCCAGCCCCGGGCACTGGGCCCAGCCCCACATGGATGCCCAGTAAATGTCCGGGAGTAAGACTGGATAACGCAAGGATCAGGACCTGGGCCCCGTTCTCAACCTGCTCACAGCACAGCCACGGAACGAGCAGACATGGGACCAACCACGGTTAGTTCTAAAGGACTCACCAGCCTGGCTTCTGTCTTAAAAACCAGCTTTCAAACATTGGTTTAGAAATAACCTAGCTCAGGGGCACCTGGAGGGCTCAGTCTGTTGAGCATCCAACTTCGGCTCAGGTCATGATCTCGTGGTCCATGAGTTCGAGCCCCACATCGAGCTCCGTGCTGACAGCTCAGAGCCTGGAGCCTGCTTGGGATTCTGTGTCTCCCTCTCTCTCTGCCCCTCCCCTGCTCACTCACTCACTCTCTCTCTCAAAAATAAACATTAAAAAATACACATTTAAAAAAAAAGGAACTGCCGGGGCGCCTGGATGGCTTAGTCGGTTAAGCGTCCGACTTTCGCTCAGGTCATGTACTCGCGGTTCGTGGGTTCGAGCCCCGCGTCGGGCTCTGTGCTGACTGCCAGCTCAGAGCCTGGAGCCTGTTTCAGTCTACGACTCCCTCTCTCTCTGACCCTCCCCTGCTCACGCTCTCTCTCTCTCTCTCCTAGAAATAAATAAAACATAAAAAAAAAAAAAAAAAAAAAAAAAAAAAAAAAAAAAAAAAAAAAAGGAACTGCCTAACTCACAAGGAGCCTTGCTGGGTGACAACAGCACCGTTCTCGGGACTGGCTTCTTCCCTCACAGCTGGGAACCGCCCAGAGCTAGAGAAACGAAAGTAAAGCCACTGGGTGGGGGGTGCCTGACATGTCAGGAGCCCCCCCAAAGAGTGGCCCAA